CTTAGGTGTATGTGGCTGGTGCCTTAGCCGCTTGAGCCACAGGCGCTGAGCCAAATATTACAATTTTAATACAGATTTTACCTTTCTTAAAACGTTCATACATTTTTTGGCACCCTCTATGTAATGGGGATAAAATTATATCTACCTTGAGGGCTGTCCTGAAGATGAAATTTGTAGCAGTATCTGAAAGTACAGACAGCTAAAGCATTAGCTGCATTATTGCATGTGGTTTTCCTGCCAGATGTTCTCTGAACTCCCCCCGCCCCCCACATCAAATCCATAGTGACAGAAGGTTACCTGATTTGCATGTTTGGTAATTTTACAAGAGTTATAATTTTAGAATACATTTAGATTTCTAGAACTATTAGGAAGATAGTATAGAGGATTCTCATGTAAACAACCCATCGCCAATCCTTCCAATGATTAACATTAGTGTAGTATGTCTGTTACAATTAATAAACTAACATTGATACATTTTTATTAAGTAAAGTCCATACCTTATTGGGATTTTTCTCAGGTTTCCCTTAACTTCTTTTTCTTGTCCCAAGGTCCCATCTAGTATAGATACGTTATACGTAGTCACTATGTTGCTTTAGGCTTCTTGGTTATGACAGTTTTGCCAATATATCTAGATATGGGGGGGTTATTATTTTTTTCTTGAGACAGGATCTCATTCTGTGCCCTAGGTGGAGTGCAGTGGTCTCATTATAGCACACTGCAGCCTCAAATTCCTGGATTTGAGGAATATTTGAGGTTATACGTAGTCACTATGTTGCTTTAGGCTTCTTGGTTATGACAGTTTTGCCAATATATCTAGATATGGGGGGGTTATTATTTTTTTCTTGAGACAGGATCTCGTTCTGTGCCCTAGGTGGAGTGCAGTGGTCTCATTATAGCACACTGCAGCCTCAAAGGATCCTCCTGCCTCAGCCTCCCAAGTAGCTGGGACTACAGATGTGCACCACCATGCCCAGCTAATTTTTCTTTATTTTGTGCCTGCTTCTTCTTGGCATTCAGATGGTATAAGGGCTGCTCTGCTGTTATTCCCATACTCAGAATCTTCCCTCCCCTCTTACAAAGAGCTGTCCTGGCTTTTGTCTGTTCCATTCCTTGGGTGGCCTGCTTAGGAATGATCTGATAGACCGGCTTTGCAATAAATGGAACAAGCTCATGAGAACTAGCTGGGTCTACTCCTTCCTGGCTAACACTTGCATTTTGAGCCTGATTTCCAAGTCTGGAAAGGTGATTATGGCTCTCAATCTACTCAGGAGATATGGTTCAATTTTACGCTCTACTACATGACTCTGAAAAAAGATATAAACTCCCAGAACCTCAGTTTCCTCATCTGTAAAAATGGGGATAGTAAGTGTGCCAAAATATGAACAAATGCTAATGCTTACCTGGAGTCTTGTATTGAGGATTATGAGATTACATCTCGGCTCAGCAGAAAAGCATGCAGGGGTTGATTAGTGACGTCTGCCTTGGACACACGTTAATAACATGGTGGCACATGTGCTGTGTGTTTGTCATTGTGGAGCTTCTCTGGTTAAGCGCCCTGGGAATGAGGAAGAATCAGGGCATGTTCAGGTGAACTGATTTGGGAAGGTGGGAATGGCCAGTGTCACACTCATGGCTCTCTGTGCCTACAGAGTTCACCCATGCAGGGCAGGGTGGGCTGATTGAGGAGCCCACAGGTGATGAGCTGCCAACCAAGAAGGGGCGGAGGAATCGTTTCAAGTGGGGCCCAGCATCCCAGCAGATCCTGTTCCAGGCCTATGAGAGGCAGAAGAACCCTAGCAAGGAGGAGAGAGAGACATTGGTGGAGGAATGCAACAGGTAAGATGGGTGGCAGGTAGCAGTGCTGATTTGGTCCGGGTTGGAGAAAGGGTGGGCAAGGGGCTCCTGAGGGAAGACCCCCCCAGTCCTTGAGAGTTCCTGCTGCTGGCTTAGCCTGGCCCAGAGAGTTGAGAGTACTCAACTCTTGGTCAGTGTCATGAGCCTCACTCCATTCCTAGTAACTACCACCCACAGAAGCAACCTCTTTGGTGGCTGCTCACCTTGTTTCATTCCCTCTACAACCCTCTGGTTGTTTTGCTCACTTTATGAATGGAGACCTTGAGGTCAGAGAGGCTGAGTCACTTGCCCAAGGTCACAGAGCAGAACTGGCACTGGAACCCAAATCTGCCAGCATCAAACACTCAGGTGGAGCCCAACTTCTCAGAGCTCTCCCCTCATGCCCAGCAGAGGGTTTCTCTGACCCTAGCTAGAGGTTCACAGGTGGCCATTTCTGCAGGGCAGAGTGCATCCAGAGGGGGGTGTCACCATCGCAGGCACAGGGTCTGGGCTCCAACCTTGTCACAGAGGTGCGTGTCTACAACTGGTTTGCCAACCGGCGCAAAGAAGAAGCCTTTCGGCACAAGCTGGCCATGGACACGTACAGTGGGCCCCCATCAGGGCCAGGGCCGGGACCTGCGTTGCCTGCCCACAGCTCCCCTGGTCTGCCGCCATCTGCCCTCTCCCCCAGTAAGGTCCATGGTGAGTGCTATGTGGGTAGAGGGGACATGTGGGAGGGTGGGGGGGGTCCTGCCCCAGTGGCAGCAGCCACCAAAACCTCTTAACAGTGGTTTTTTTTTTTTTTTTTTTTGAGACAGAGCCTCAAGCTGTTACCTTGGGTAGAGTGCCATGGCATCACAGCTCACAGCAACCTCCAACTCCTGGGCTTAAGTGATTCTCTTGCCTCAGCCTCCCAAGTAGCTGGGACTTGTAGCCCGCCACATCGCCTGGCTATTTTTTGGTTATAGCTGTCATTGTTGTTTGGCAGGCCCAGGCTGGATTCTAACCCACCAGTTCTGGTGTATGTGGCTGGTGCCTTAGCCACTTGAGCTACAGGCGCTGAGCCATAACAGTGGTTCTCAACCTTCCTAATGCTGTGTCTTTAACACAGTTCCTGTGGGTCATGACCCACAGATTGAGAACCACTGTCTCAGTACTTCAGTTTGGTTCCACTTAACCCACTCCAATCTACTCCTCACCACTTCACTCCATCCACCTCACTCCTATAACTCTGCTTAACTCTACATTTATTTATTTATTTATTTATTTTTGCAGTATTTTGGCTGGGACTGGGTTTGAACCCACCACCTCTGGCCTATGGGGCTGGTGCCCTACTCCTTTGAGCCACAGGCACCACCCTTATTTTTTTATTTTTTGTAGTTTTTGGCCGGGACTGGGTTTGAACCTGCCACTTCTGGCATTTGGGGCTGGTGCTCTACTCCTTTGAGCCACAGGCGCCACCCAACTCTGCTTAACTCTATTAACACTACTCCATCCATTCTACTCCCATCCACTCATCCTCTCCTTTCCATTCCACCCCTTCTATCCACTCCATCCACTCTACTCCATCCGCTCCGCTCACTCCAGCCACTCTACTCCAGTCACTCCACTTGACTCCTCTGATTCCATCTGAGTCCATCTACTCCATATCATTGCTTCACAGTCTGTTCACACTACTCCATTCTACTCCATTTACCCCATTCATTTTACTTTACTCTTCTCCCTTCCATCCACTTCAAACTATTCCACACCATTCCCCCACTCCACTCTGCACCACTCCACTCTACTCCGCTCATTTTGCTCAATTCCACTTCATTCTATCTGCTATACACCATAACTCCACTCAATTGAACTTAACTTGATTGAGGTTCCTTCAATTTATTCATTTCAGATCGTATCAATTCAATTCATTTTGGTTCAATTCAGTTTAGTTCAACACATTATAATCCAATTTAGTTCATTTAACTTTGGCACAGTTTAATCCAACTAATTCCCATTCAACGCATTCAGTTTAACTAAATATAATTCAATCAAATTCAGTTAATTTTATATAGGTCAGTTCAATTGAAAGCGATTCGATTTGGTTCAATTCAGTTCAACTCACTGTATCTACATCTAACTCGATTCAAGCCAGTGTAATTCTAGCACTCTGGGATGCTGTGGCAGGATTGCTTGAGCTTAGAAGTTTGCGACTTGCCTGAGCAAGAGTGAGACCTCATCTTTGCAAGAAAAAAAAAAAGTAAAAAAAAATCATCTGGCTGTCACGATGTGCGCCTATAGTCCCAGTGATTCGGCAGGCTGATGTAAGAAGATCACCTGAGCCCAGGAGTCAGAGGTTGCAATGAGCTCTGGTGACACCACTGCATTCTACCTAGGGTGACAGAGTGAGACTGTCTCAAGAAAAAAAAATAGCTCAATTAATTTCAAGTTCAATTCCACTAGATTCAGTTCTGTTTAACTCAGTTCACTTGAACTTAATTCCATTAGCCTTAATTCAGCTCAATTCAATTGGCTTTTACTGAGAACCTACTGTATGTCAGGCACAGCACTAGGCAGTGAGGGGGAGGGGCATGGAGTTAATAAAATCCAGCCCTGGCCTCTGAGGAACTAACTGGCAGCTACCAGCCCAGGGCTTGGCACAAGCTGGGCAGCTCAGGCAGAATTTCCTGAGTATAAAGAAAGGTGAGGCCACTGGCCTAAGGAAACTGATCCAGTTTGGAGTGATGAGGGCTATGGAGGCAGGTGAAGACAGGGAAGTGGAGTGCTGAGGCTGGACTCTGCTCCCCACTCCAGGCGTGCGCTATGGACAGCCGACAGCCAGTGAAGCGGCAGAAGTGCCCTCAAGCAGTGGCAGTCCCTTGGTGACAGTGTCTGCAGCCCTGCACCCAGTGTCCCCCACAGGCCTGGAGCCCAGCCACAGTCTGCTGAGCACTGAAGCCAAGCTGGTGAGTGTCCCCTGCCTGTGGGGAAAATCCTTCCAATCCCACCTTTTCTTGGCAGGGCGCTTCTCAAGCAGTTCTCAAGGAGGTACTATAGGACTCACCCTGACTCAGCCTGGCTTTCCCTGGCAGGTCTCAGCAACTGGGGGCCCCCTCCCCCCTGTGAGCACCCTGACAGCACTGCATAGCTTGGAGCAGACATCCCCAGGCCTCAACCAGCAGCCCCAGAACCTCATCATGGCCTCACTCCCTGGGGTCATGACCATTGGGCCTGGTGAGCCTGCCTCCCTGGGTCCCACGTTCACCAACACAGGCGCCTCCACTCTGGTCATTGGTAAGGTAATGGGGATGGGTGGGGCACCCACCTAGAGGCTCATGGGGCTACTGCAGAACTAGGGGCTGGAAGAGCCACTGGGACTCATTCATTCATTCACACAACACCTATATACTGGGCCAGGCACTGTACTACCTCGGTGATGTGTGAGTGAACCAGACAGACCAAAATCTCAGAGACCCACATGGGGAGGCAGGCAATAAACATAACACACAAATCACATAGCATCAGAAGGTAAAAAATATGGGCACAGTAGAGCAGGGTAAGGGATTGATGTTTTCAAGGTTTTGGGCTTTATTTAAAAGTTAGGTTTTTTTTTTGAGACAGAGTCTCACTATGTCTCACTATGACACAATCACCATGGTGTCACAGCTCACAGCAACCTGAAACTCTTGGGCTTAAGTGATTCTCTTGCCTCAGCCTCCCAATTAGATGGGACTACAGGCACCTGCCACAATGTCCAGCTATTTGTTGTTGTTGTTGTTGTTGTTGTTTAGCAGGCCTGGGTTGGGTATGAACCCACCAGCCCCGTTGTATGTAGCTGGTGCCCCAACCACTTAGCTATGGCATCGAGCCTTAAAGTTGTTTTATAAGCCCAGGAAGCCTTTATTCTCAGGGATGAGTATGCAGAAGCTCAGTATATAAGATAGATCAGGAGCTGCTAGGAGAGGGGAGGAGAAAGCTAAGCCCAGGCAGGGCCTTTGCACTGCTTTGGAATTCCAGGGCTCCAGGGAACCCAGTCTGATAACCCTTGACATAGTCCCTGGTGACCTCTTCCACCAGACCAAATGTGGAACCAAAGGCTCAGACAGGAGTGACTTGCCAGGGCCACTTAAGTTAGTGGCAAGTCCCAATGCAGGGTTGTTTCCAGGTGGCCCTGTGCCCTCTTCCAACCTGTGGGCACTAGAGGGTAGGGTGGGATCCCAGGGGGTCTGAGGAGGTGGTGCAGGTGGCAGCAGGCCGGGCTGACTCCTGCCTTTCCCACTCTAGGCCTGGCTTCCACTCAGGCCCAGAGTGTGCCTGTCATCAACAGCATGGGTAGCAGCCTGACCACCCTGCAGCCCGTCCAGTTCTCCCAGCAGCTGCACCCTTCCTACCAGCAGCCGCTCATGCCACCCATGCAGAGCCACGTGGCCCAGAGCCCCTTTATGGCCACCATGGCCCAACTGCAGAGCCCCCACGGTGAGCACCCTGTGCCCCATGCTGGGGGAGGTGGTGGTGGAAGTTGGCTGTGGAAGGGCGCAGGGGAAGGGGCAGTTGGCAGGTGTTGTGGTCTGAGTGTGTGTCTGGGACAAGTGTAAGTGCTCTGTGATGGAGGATGTCTGTGGGTCACAGTCTGCTTCCCTATGAACGGGTGCAGCTTCCATACGAATGGATGCGCACATGTGCTTGTGTGAGCCGAGATCGCTGGTGCCTTTCCACATGCGTATCGTGGGTGTTTGTTGGTTGTGTGTATGCTCATGTGTGTGTGCCTGTGTGTGGGAGTAGAGGTCACCGTCCTCTCTCTGAAACTCTCAGGGCCATGCATATTTCAGAAGTCACTCTTCTTCAGATTTTAGAAAGGTAATTTGGTGGATGTAACAGTAGTTAACACTCCCAGCAAGGTTTGGGGCAGCATCCTCGCATTACTATTTCTGCAGCAAAATAGTAATGGGATTCCATGAGGTAAGGTAAAGACTCACATAATCTCATTCATGTTCTGGTTGGGTTTTGCCATCAAATGAGCCGTACCGTGAGCCTTACAAAAATCTTTTGGTCTTGAAAACAATAAAAAAATAAAATAAATAAAAGGCTTGGTGCCTGTGGCTCAAGTGGCTAAGGTGCCAGCCACATGCACCTGAGCTGGAGGGTTCGAATCCAGCCCGGCCCGCCAAACAACAATGATGCTGCAACCAAAAAATGGCTGGACATTGTGGTGGGCGCCTATAGTCCCAGCTGCTTGGGAGGCGGAGGCAGGAGAATCGCTTGAGCCCAGGAGTTGGAGGTTGCTGTGAGCTATGATGCTGCAGCACTCTGCCCAGGGCAACAGCTTGAGGCTCTGTCTCAAAAAAAAAAAAATCTTTTGGGATAAGGGATTGTGGACCTATACATACCTGTGTGTATGTGGTTGAAGGTGTATGTATTTGTGTGTGTTGTTTTTATCTGAGTCACTGTGGAAATAAGTAGTTAATGTATGTTTTGCTAGTGCTACTTGGCTGGGGGTGGGGGGGTACGTGAAACGTGTTACATTTTGGAGAGGTTTCTGCCTTCTGCCCTGCCCACCTCCAGACAGAACCCACCTGCCTTTCTGCACTGAATGGTTAGAGTAGCACCTGTGCTGAGTAGACAGCTGCACCGTGTCTGTGCTTCCCATTCCTTTCCTACCTGTGAGAGAGTTGCTGGCCTCCCCCAGGGCCCTCCCTATCAATCTCAGCTGAGTAGGTCCCTGCAGTAGGGGAAGAGTGTCTACCACCCTATTTGGACCCCCCCGTTTTAGAAATCAGCCCTGATCTCCAACGACTACTTGTGGGGCTATTCGGCAGGCCCCATCCCCCACTTCTCCTGGGTTCCCCAGCTTTGAGGCCTCCTGGGAGGGGCCTGGGCCAGCACATCTGCCATGTCTGTCTCCTCCCTGCCCCACCAGCCCTCTACAGCCACAAGCCGGAAGTGGCCCAGTACACTCACACGGGCCTGCTTCCGCAGACCATGCTCATCACGGACACGACCAACCTGAGTGCCCTGGCCAGCCTCACGCCCACCAAGCAGGTAAGGCCCAGGCCTCTGCAACCTCCCTTCAATCCTGCCCCAGAGCTCCCTACCAGCTCTGGGGTCTCAGGAGACTGCTCTGCTTCCTCAGGTGTTCACCTCAGACCCCGAGGCCTCCAGTGAGTCTGGGCTGCATACACCGGCCTCTCAGGCCACCACTCTCCACGTCCCCAGCCAGGACCCTGCCGGCATCCAGCACCTGCAGCCCACTCACAGGCTCAGTGCCAGCCCCACGGGTGAGCAGCCCTGGCCTTTTCCTTGCTGTCCCTGCCTCCCAGCCATGGTCTGTGTGCCCAGGAAGTGTGCCACACAGCGTGGGCCACTGCAGGGAACCGGCCTACCTTATAGGATCATTTCACTGACTTAATGAAAGAATAAGATTAAGTAACAGGAAGAGGCAGCAGAGGTGATAAAGAGGGAGTTTGTAGGCTGGAAGTGACTCATGGGTGTGTTTGGTGGGGCTCAGCTCAGAGTCTAACATTCTTTGAGTTAGTTACCAACATTTCAAAATCAGGAGTTTTCACATAGAAATCTGGATTTCTGGCTTCTTTTGGAAACTTGGAAGAATGCATAATCCTACATAACAGCCCACTACATCCCCCTTGGTGCAACTCACATTTGTTCCGGCAACCCTGGTAGGCTCCCGAGTTTGCAGTCTACACTGTCATGGTCATGGTCAGGAGAGGGCCTTTATGAGTCAGGCTGCTGGGCTTGGAGGGCCAGGGTGCCATGGCTAACGCTGAGGCTTTAGGCAAGTTGCTCATTGTGCACCTCAGGTGGCTGAAGTGACAACTACTGAGGGCAATCTATGTCCCAGCTTCACCCCAGGAGGTGTGTACATTATCATTCTATTTTACAGATGAGGAGGTTGACAATCAAGGAGATGAGGGACTGGCTTGGTCTGGAACTTGGGGTCGACCTCAAAGCCCATTCTCTTAAACCATCCCCACTCATCTAGGTTCTCCCCAAACAGAACCAGTAGGATTTGTACAGACTGAGGTTTACTTAAGGAAATTGGCTTATGAAGGTGGGGGCTGACAAGTCTGAAATGGGTGGGGCAGGCTGGAAACTCAGGCAGAAGTTCATACTACAGCCTTGAGGCCAAATTCCTGGGAGACCTCTGTTGTTACTCTTAAGGCCTTTGATGGATCATTGGAGGAGGTCTGCCCCCATTACTCAGGGTAAGCTGCTTTGCGAGCCAACTGAGTGCTGACCACGTCTGCAGTGTGTACCTTCACGGCGGCACCTAGATTAGTATTTAGTTCAGCCTAGTCAAGCTGACCTATAAAACCACCTGCTGCACCATCTCATCAGGGCTTCTCCATGTTCTCACTAAAATGTCCTGAGCTGCCACTGTCTGGGTGGCTCCCCTTAAAGAACTGAGGGTAGTTTGACTTTGGGGTTCCTATTATCTGCTGTGATTCAGGAGGTAAGGCCTTCTCTCCCATGCCCTAAGTACTTCTAGGGACAGGGTGGGGTTGAGTCAGGTGACCCAGCGGTTGGCCAGCAGCCTTGTTTGCCTCTGCAGTGTCCTCCAGCAGCCTGGTGCTGTACCAGAGCTCTGACTCCAGCAATGGCCATAGCCACCTGCTGCCTTCCAACCACGGTGTCATCGAGACCTTCATCTCCACGCAGATGGCTTCTTCTTCCCAGTAACTATGGCAACCACTTCCCAACACCTGGGCCCTGCAGCCAGTGCTGCCTGCTTGGGGAGTAATCCCTAGAGACACTGGAGCCTGCCAAATTCCTGCTACCCCTCCCTGGAGAGCTGTGCCTTGTCCCCACCCTGCTCTGGAACAGCAGGAAGGGAGGGCTGCTTCAGAGGCACAAGAAGGGGCGTGGAGTGGTGGCAAGCAGAGCCTGTTCCTGGCAGGATGTGGGAAGGAGGGACTGTCCCTGTTGTTCGGGACAACACTTTGCCACTTGGAGCAGAAGAGGCGCAGTCTTTGACTCTGGCATTCCCAGCCTGAGCCCGTGGAGAGCCCTGGGATCCCTGAGGCAGTCACACTTCTCAGGACACAGGCCTGGGTGGCTGTGACTTGCTGAGCTCCAAGAGGCCGGTCAACTTCATATTCTGTCACCTGTGTACCCATCAGGCCACTCCACCCTGCCCCAATTCCTATCACCTGGTGATCTGCATACCCATTTGCACTGACCCTGCTACCCATTTACACAGGCTTTTCCTGAGTGGCTACTCTGTGCCAGGCTCAGGGCCCTGATGCCCAAGCCCTGGGGAGTGAAGTCCACAGGGAGGCACACAGGGTTCTCTGAGCTCCCCTGGTACTGAGAGATTCCCCTACTCCCTGGCCCAAGACCTGATTTTGCCTGGACACTGGTTCCCAGGAGCATCAGCCTTCTGATGCCAGCCTGGCCTCCTATTCTGGAAAGGCTGCCTCAGGGCTGGGAAGCTGTCCTGGCTCCAGCAGGAACCTTGAGATTTGTGCTGAGTCTAGGTCCTGGGGTGGCAGCTCCTCTGGTCTGTGAGGCCCTACAAGCTCTTGCCTAGTTTTGCCTAGGGGAATAGAGGGAGGAAATAGAGGTGAGCCCAGCGCAAAGGAGTTACCGAGGTGATAGGACTGATGCTTGGAACTCTGGGAGCCTGGCTGGCTGAGTGATGGGGTCCAGGCCGTTGCGGTCACCCTGAGGAGTCTGAGGGCCTGAGCACCACTGGGGACAGAACAGCTGTGTGAACCCATGACTATCCACGGGCCTGTTGCAGGGAACCTGGCCTTCAAGGGACTGCCTGTACCCTGGCACTGCAGAAAGAGCCTGAGGAGAACCAGTGCGCCCCACAGCTTGCAGCCAGCTAAGGGAGAACCTGTACATTTATTTAACTTTCAGTAAAGTCAAAGAGAAATGTATTGGAAACTTCTTGATAGTCCACAGATCACCCAGACAGGGCTTGGGCAGGCCGAGGGAGGCTGAGGCAAGCCTGGGGCCTGAGGAGGGGAGCTGGGCTCCAGCCCACTCACCCTCACATCCCAGGTCTCTGCTTCTCCTTTTTTTTTGGTAGAGTGCTGTGGCATCATTGTAGCTCACGGCCACCTCAAACTCTTGGGCTCAAACGATCCTCGTGCCTCAGCTTCCCAAGTAGGTGGGACTACAGGCACCATCATCATGCCTGGCTAATTTTTCTATTTTCTCAGGCTGGTCTTGAACTCCTGAGCTCAAGCAATCTGCCTGCTTCAGCCTCCCATTGTTGTCTCTACTTTTCTTGCTCTGGTACTCTGGCAATGAAGGATGAAGCCAGAATCTCACCTGAACCTTCAACTTCTTCTATTCCTTCCTGTAGGAGACCCCTGTTAATGGGACCTAGTCCATAGCTGTGTCACATTTCCTGAAGTCTTGAAATTGGGGTGAAGGAACATTTCCTAGGGGCAGAGGCAAGAGGAAGATGTTGATTTAAAATGTTTCATTAAGGTTTGGCATTGACAGGGAGGCAACACTCAATCACACTGAATTTTGTTTTGGGTCCCTTGACAATTTATTTTCAACAATCTGGTTGGCTCAGAGATATCATCATGCCCGATAAATTCACAAAGGCAGAGAAAAAAAAAACTCTGGAAAACCAAGGGGAGAAATCTCTGACTCCTGTTTCAGGCAATTCTATCAAGTCTATGTGGGCTAAGGGGAGGAAACAAAAAATGGCATCTTGGGGACCCCTTCTCTTATTTTCTGCAGAAGGTTTCTCAAACCAGGCTGAGGAGAAAGGCATCCCTTCACAGGTCCACCTCAGACAGTTCTGGGGAGACAGGAGCTGTACCACTTGGGTACTAGTCTTGAATAACTAGAAGGATCCTTCTTCCGGTGGCCACGGAATGTTCTGGTACAACAGAACAGGTCTGCCTTAGCCCTTGTGGGAGCACAGAGAGGCAGGCCTCGCTTAGGCTTCTCACCCTATATATAGCAGTATCTTTGCCCCGACTCTTGGGCAAGCCCCCATCACAACTGGGGTCTTGTGGGCAGAGTCTGGACTTGCCAGCCAAGTCCTTGAACTTGGAGCAGAAGGTGGGATTCGAAATTGCCTCATTCCCGGTGGGCACCTTGTCCTAGCTGGGCCCTGTGCCCACAGCCGGGGTCAGTCTGTAGGTGGGAGTGGAGAAGGCTCACTGGTCTTCTTTGCCTTTTTCTTCCTTTTCTTCTTTTTGGTTCCAAATGATACCTGGTCTCCATTCAGCTTGCTTGGCTGCTTTTCCTGCTTCTGGATCGTGGCCTCAGTGGTGGTGCTGGTGGAGGTGACTACAGAGGAATCAACACGGGTCACCTTCTTGTGTTTCTTTTTCAACTTCCTTTTCTTCCTTGCCTCCTTCTCCACTCTGACAGGGTTATGGATGGCTGACTCCTGCAGGATGGCGGATACTGACACAGCTGCCTCCTGGCACCGTTGCCACTCCTCCTCACTGTCCTCGCTGCTACAAGGGGAGAGCAGTCTGGTTAGCCAGGGTCAGGATGGAATCCTGGAGCTGCCTCTCGAAAGAGGCTACGAAGGGAGGCAGGAGGAGAGCTCAGGCTTGGGAGGGAGGCCAGCCTGGGTTCCAACCCTGGCTACTCTGCTTGCCAGTTCTGTGACCTCATTAAGTGTCTTCACTTCTCTGACTCTTAGTATCTTTATCTATAAAGTGGGGATCTAACAGAGCCCAGGCCTCACAGGGATGTCTCAGGAGGCTTAATGGCTAACTTCCAGAAGCCGCGGAGGGCTGTCTGACCTGGCTTGGCAGCTGGCATCCCTTAAGTACCCTGATACAGTGAGTGTCTGGCCTGAGACCAGTGCCCACACATCAATAAACATCCAGACCCACTCTCATCACACAACCTCTTCACCTCCTACTGCCCACACCACTTCTCCAGCTGCCTGCCAGGGCCCCTTCCTTGGCCCAGATCTGACTGAGTCAGCACGGCTGTCCCAGGGGACCAGCTGAGATAACAGTTGAAGGGGATGTGAGGAGAGGGTGGGAGCTCTTACCTGGAGCTGGAGGGCTGTCGCTTTCTGCGGGGCTTGGGAGAAGCTTTCTTCTCAGGGCTTCCAGGGACAGATGTGAAGAAAAGGCGGAAACCTAAGATTCAACTGGGTAGAGTTAGCACTGCCAGATGCCAACTCCTCCTCCCAGGAGCTCCAAGTTCACAGACAAGACTTGGGAACTACAGTTGTCTAACTACAAAATGATGCCATCTGATGAGAGGCATGCTTGATGCCTAATAGTGCCAGCAGATGGGGCACTGGGCGGGGGGGCATGCCAGCTCCTAAATCAGGTTGGGCAGCCCTCAGAGGCTTCTACAAGTCAAAAGGTAAGCCTCTTACCTAAGGCAGCCTCCAAAGTGGCAAATGAGTTGGTATAGGACAGATGGACTGAGAGAGGTGAGGCTGTGGAGTGTGGCAGTAAAGAGCTCCTGCTCAGAGATAGACAAAGTCACCTCAGGCAAGTGACATCATTTCTTAGAGTCTCAGTTTTCTTAACTGTAAATGGAGGTCTTATAATACCTGCCTCACAGCAGATAAAAGAATGTAACAGAGCTGTATGGCCCAGCTCCAGACACATAGGAGGCGCGTAATAAATGAAAGCTATTAACAGCACAACTACTCACCGTCATCCTCTGAGGTGACTTTCTGTACCTCGGTTTTTGCTGGCTCCTTCACTACTTCTGAGATGGTAATGACGCTAAGTGGAGAGGAGATGGTTGATTTAGAAGGACATTCTGGGTAACAATTTTTTTTTTTTTTTGAGATGGAGTCACCTTGGGTAGAGTGCTGTGGCATCACAGCTCACAGCAACCTTAAACTTTTGGGCTTAAGCAATTCTCTTGCCTTAGCCTCCCAAGTAGCTGGGACTACAGGTGCCTGCCACAATGCCTGGCTATTTTTTTGTTGTTGCAGTTGTCATTGTTGTTTTAGCTGGCTCGGGCTGGGTTCGAACCCGCCAGCCTCGGTGTACGTGGCCAGTGCCCTACCCACTGAGCAATGGGTGCCACCTGAAGGGTAACAATTTTTTTAGAAAATTGAAAAAAAATTTATTGTTAAGTGGAGGAGATAGGGCCATGTGATTTTAATTTTAAATGTAAAACCAGACAGCATACAACTAGCCCTGCCAACTCAAACTGCATTTGTTTAAAGTCCACTTTATTCCAGAAAGTGTTGAAGAGATTCTTTTTTTTTTTTATGAGATGGAGTCTCAAGCTGTTGCTCTGGGAAGAGTGCCTGGTGTCACAGCTCACAGCAACCTCAAACTCTTAGGCTTAAGCGATCCTCTTGCCTCAGCCTTCCAAGTAGCTGGGACCACAGGTGCCTGCCACAATGCCTGGCTATTTTTGGTTATAGTTGTCATTGTTGTTTGGTGGGCCCTGGCTGGATTCAAACCCGCCAGCTCCAGTATATGTGGCTGGTGCCTTAGCCACTTGAGGTACAGGCACCGAGCCATGAAGAAATTTTAAAGATATTCATGGCACAATAAAATGTATATAATTTCAAATAGAGCAAAGAGAAATGAGGGCTAGAGGGACAGAGAGAGCTAAAAATGTGGCCAGGCAGTCCTATACACTTGCTGGAGACAGGGTACACTTTTTGCTCTGAGCTTCCTAGCAGCAAGCCTTAAAAGGGAAATATGACCTATTGAGAGAAGTGGTTCAGAGGTTAGCTTCTAGATCCAGGGCAAACCTGTCTTGTTTTGTTTTTAAACTTTTTAAAAATTTGAGATAATTTTTGCACACTATTGATATGCAGTGCAAGAAATAATACAGAGATCCCATATAACCTTCACCTGCCTTCTCCCAATGGGGAAACCGTGTGTTTAACTACAGTAGAATATTATAACCAGGAAACTGAAATTGATAAAATTCATTGCCCTTATCCAGACTTCAGAGACTGGGGTTTTGAATCCTGGTTTTGTCACTTACTAGTTGTGTCCCTTTTGGCAAGTAACTTTACCTCTTGGAGCTTCTATTTCCCATCTGTACACATGGAAGGGTAATAGCCCCTTCCCCTTAAGGGCTGTCACAATGATTAAAGTAGAGAAATGGACATCAAGCACTTAGCACAAGCAAGTGCTCAGTAAATGTTAGCTACGATGACAGAGGTCTGTGAAGGTTGCTTTTTTATTGACATCAGAAAAAGCTATAAGCTTTCCAGATCTCTCTAGGCACAGATAGAACATGTCTCTGGTAGATGCTGATGGGGAAGTCACTGAAAGCTGCCCTCAACAATGTCCTCACAGCAAACACAGCAATGTACTGGGTGCTTTCCTTAACTTCCCTCCATATGTGCCAATGGTGTTTCCCAAAGCCCTGTTGAGGAAAAGCAATCTGGAAAGGGGGACTGTGGATGATGCTGTCCAGGCACCTGTCTCTGATCCAACACTGTAGTTCAATGTTGGCCACTAGGAGCATTTAGCAATATCTGAGATATTTTTGGTTGTCACAACTAGTAGGGTAGATGCTACTAGTATCTAGTGGGTAGAGACCAGGGATGTTGCTAAATATCCTATGATGGGAAGGACAGACTTCAATGACAAAGAACTACCCAGTCAAAAATGTCAACAGTGCCGAGATGAAGAGACCCTGATCTAAAGCAAGGGACTAACTATGGTTATCATTTAAATCTCCTTGAAGAGAAATAGGAAAATGAAAACGCTGCAGGGAATATTCTGACCACGGCTGACTGGGATTCTGCTGATTTCTACTGCAGCAATGTCCCTGGTGGCTTACTGCAATGCCAAGTGTGCTCACCCTGAAGCCAAAGAGTCATGAGGAAACACTGTGCTCCCATAGGCTGAAATGCAACTGACCTTCCTAAACACCTTCCTCACATTCTTGAGTTAGGGGCCTGGCACCAGTGCTATGGGTGTTTGGGCTTCTAGGCTCTGGCCCAGCATTCTGTCTCTTATGAGAACAAGTGATTTACACTTTGGGAAGCAGATACGGGAAAAGGTATCTTCAAATGTAGGGACTATGTTCTGAATCCTCTTCTTTCATTCAAAACTTGCTAGGGCTCTACCAGTTTGGAATAGACCCAGACCAGTGTGTTCTGAAACATGTTCCATGGTAAACGGAGTAGGCAAAATGCTAGGTTAAACAGGTGTGCAGGTCTCTTCACGGCACTTTTTAGAACCCTGAGTATACTAATATGAATCTCAGTCACCAAGTGCACATGGAGGTTTGTAGATTGCATTTTCCCAAACTTCTTAGCTGGTGGATCCCCTTTTACTCGAGAGCCATGCTCTGGGCTAGTATTAAACTCTGAATGTTTTCTGTGTCCTCTTCAAATTCTTATATTGAAGTCCTCACCCCCAAGGTATTAAAAGGTGAGGGGAGGCTTTGAGAGGTGATTAGGTAGGGCCCTCATGAATGGGATTCATGCTCTTTTTTTAAGACAGAGTCTCACTTTGTTACCCCAGCTTGAGTGCCATGGTGTCATAGTTCACAGCAACCTTGAACACTTGGGCTCAAGTGATCCTCTTGCCTTAGCCTCCCGAGTAGCTGGGACTATGTGAGTACCGTGCACCACTATGCCTGGCTAGTTTTTCTATTTTCATTTTTTTTTTTTTTTGAGACAGAGTCTTACTATATTGCCCTTAGTAGAGTGCCATGGTGTCACAGCAACCTCAAACTCTTGGGCTTAAGCGATTCTCTTGCTTCAGTTTCCCAAGTAGCTGGGACTACAGATGCCCACTGCAATACCTGCCTATTTTTTTAGTTACAATTTTCATTGTTGTTTAGTTGGCCTGGAATGGGTTTGAACCTGCCAGCCTCGGTGCATGTGGCTGGCACCATAAGCACTGTGCTACAGGTGCTGAGTCTAGTTTTTCTATTTTTAGTAGAGATGGGGTCTTGCTCTTGCTTAGGCTGGTCTGGAACTCTTGAGCTCAAGCATTCCACACACCTTGGCCTCCGAGAGTGCTAAGATTACAGGTGTGAGCCACCATACCTGCTTGAATTCATGTTCTCATAAACAAAGTCCAAGAGAGACCTCTCACCCCTTTCACCATGTGAGGGTACAGTGGAATTGATGTGAGAAGGCACCAAGAGGTCCCTTGCTAGACTCTGAATCTACTGGCGCCTTTATCCTGGACTTAGCCTCTAAAACCTAAGAAATAAATTTCTATTGTTTCTAAGTTACCAAGTTTATGGTATTTTGTTATAGCAGCTTGAATGGACTCCAACAGGTAGTATTCCTTGGTCCTTTCTTTAGGAATGCTGACTCGAATCTTTTACAGACTGTATTTCCACCCTGTGCTGAGAATGTACAACAGGGAATCAGTGCAGCACCTGGGACATGGAAGGTACCTACGACATAGAACTTGGCCCATCATTGCCTTCTCACGGCAGGAATGAGCTCTTGCTGCTTGGGGGTTCAGAGCCCAGGCTTGGACCTACATGACATGTTGCTTATGTGCTTGTCACAGCGCCTGCTTGGACACTGTGAACTCTGGCTAATGTGAGCCCTGCTGTTTGAATCAGCAAGGGTGGGAGAGAAGATACGTTTTTGGCTTACCTGTCCAGCAGGGCTCCCAGTTTCTTGGCCACGTGGGCTCGGAATTCGGGGGTGGTCTGAAGCTCGTTGCCATCTTGTTGGTGCTCATCTACCTTATGCCTATAAAACACACAAAAGGACCTCATTCCTGCTAGCTCAGAGATGTCCTCATAAGTGCAGGGATTATTTGGGTCTCGTTCACTTGGATATCCCAGGGGTTTAGCCTAACATCTGGCACACACAGGGGAACAATATTTATTAAATGAGTGAAAATAAAACTTGAGCCCACAGGGTACAGTACCTGAGGCTTGGTTGGGAGGTTGGTAACTGGTTATTTGCAGCACCTGTGGAAAAATGAAAATTGAGCCCTTTATAGAGGAAACAATTACAGCATTGGTTGTGTCAGGCACAATCTTAAGCAATTTACAGGTATAACTCAGTGAATCTTCCCAACAGCTCCTCTAGAGGAGTTACTATTATCTCCATTTACAGAAGAAACATCAACAAATATTGAATGACTCTAGGGAGCACTGCTGTGTCTATGTCGTCGTGCACATTGTGCCTGTGTCCTAGTACCTTGTGGTTTATGTCAATGTGCCCTGGAGCACAACAAAGAATACAAAAAATGCCCCAGGTCCTTGAGTTGCATAATGTGCGAGTCTAGGTGGACATTCTTTAAAGACTTAGTCTTTCTTCTTGAGTACATACAGGCAATCCCTGGGTTTCAAACAAGATGGGTTCTGTAGGTTTGTTTTTAAGTTGAATTTGTAAGTTGGAACAGGTACATTTACATATTACCTGTAATAACCCCTGTTTGTGTGAACTGTACTTAAACTGGATGTTTGTAACTTGGGGACTGCCTGAATCACAAGGAGGAGGGGTATCTCCTCTGTCATGACTATAGAGCAATGAATGGGAGATACTGTCACGGAACAGAAACAGTATTAGACCCCAGAGAGAAACAGTTCAGCTGAGTCCCGGCTCTGCCACTAACAAGCTGTGTGCCCCTGGACAAGACACTTTATCTCTCTAAGCCTTTCTCATCTATAAAATATAGAAAAGTTTTAAATGCTTTGTTTGCATGTCTATCTCCTTCCAGGATATGTAAGCTACTAGGGCACATGGTCTTTTTATCTTTATATCCCCAACTTTTAGCAAAATGGCTCATTTAGAAATAAGTGTTAGACAAATCAAAGCACATGCTGCTCTAAAATTAAAGTTACCAGTTCCTCATCACTGGATTTAAGCGAGTCCATAAATAAAAGTGACCTACATTACCACATAGTCATAAACCAAGGGGTAGGGGTTTTGCTTACAAAAGACACTTATCTATGGCAGGGAGTGCCTGACAGCAATGAAGAGTGTGGACTTAGACTCAGACGGGCCCAGATTAATGCCTGGTTCTGCACTTTCAAGCTGGATGACCTTGGCTAAGGTCAAGCATCAGGTTTCTCATCTGTAAAATGGGGCTTACAATACCCTCTTTGTGACATTGCTGAAAAGATTAAACCAAACAAATGCAGTGTTTAGAACAGAGGCACAGAGTGATTTCTCAATTCCTGGTGGCTATTACTAAAATAACCCAAGAATGTACTCAAAAGTCTAGTAACTTGCCTGGCATACAGCAGGTGCTCAATAAATAACACTTACCGTGTTTCCCTGAAAATAAGACCTACCCCCCAAATGAGCCCTAGCAGGATTTCTATGCATTTGTTAAATATAAGCCCTACCCTGATAATAAGACCTAGTGATGGTCTTATTTCTGCACAGAGTGGTAAGGAAGACTAGAATACCTTTTATCTGCCACAGCTCCTTTCTCTGAGCCGTTTGCACTTGCACAGGTGCGCGTGTGGTAACTGTGGTTGCAGGTGTCCTATTATGTACATGCAAACGGCTAGGGGAAAGGAGTTCACGCATCACTAGCGCCAGCCCCACCAACAAGGTTGGCTCCCCCGTCAGTTTCCAGAAGAAGATGACTTAACTGTATTTGAATAAATGTAGATTGTTGTATTATACTTAATAAAAATAAGACATCCCCTGAAAATAAGCCCTTATGTGTCTTCCTGAGAAAAAATAAATATAAGACAGTGTCTTATTTTGGGGGAAACACAGTATTATCAGCAACTATGTCTACTTTGATCAACAGGGGATTTATTATGCCACAAAAACAATGAGGTGCAAAGCCAGTATGTTGGAGCCACTTCTCACATGTGTATCTTTGCATACGTTGGTTCAGGTTTGAGACTTACAACAATCCTATCAGTTTTAGAGATGAAGAAATTGTGGATTCCCATTTGTGATTTTATGTTATTTGTCCCAGGCTAGTATTTCATACCAGGTCCTGATAACACTGCCACACAAGAACCCCTTCTGTCAAAGCAGAAGCACCTGGATAGCAGTCTGCTGGAATCCAAGTCCCCTCACTCATTAGAGATGTGCTTTTTGGGCAAGTTCATTCATTCAAGAACTATTTTTCTTGAGCAGTATGCTAGGCCCTGATGATACTGTGGTGGAGACAGGCCAGATTCTAGGCCTTCATGAAGTTCATACCACATAATCTCTTTTTTTTTTGAGACAGAGCCTCAAGCTATCCCCCTGGGTAGAGTGCCATGGCGTCATGCTCACAGCAACCTCCAACTCCTGGGCTCAAGCGAGTCTCCTGCCTCAGCCTCCCAAGTAGCTGGGACTACAGGTGCCTGCCACAACGCCTGGCCATTTTTTGGTTGCAGACATCATTGTTGTTTGGCGGGCCCAGGCTGGGGATTCGAACCCGCCACCTTAGGTGTATGTGGCTGGCGCCTTAGCCGCTTGAGCCACAGGCGCCGAGCCCACATAATCTCTTAATAAATATTTGTGGAACAAGTTAGGCGTAGGGTTGATTGAAGGATCAACCTGAGGATCAGAGATAGAAAAAAAAGAGAGAGAGAGACAAGAAGCAGTTATAGGAAGAAAGAAAAGCATTATTCTAGGAAGGAAATCACACAAAGTAAGGTGGTGGCACAGAGAAAGCGTGTAATCTAGACTTAAAGGATTGAGAAAGCTTTCCCAAAGAGATGGTATCTTAGCTGGATTAAAGGATGAGCAAAAGTCAGACAGAAGGAGGAAAGCAGTACCAACCACATACTTGCTACCATTTATTACTGGAACTTTAATATGCACCAAGCACTACAGATGCATCCTCTCAACCTTTTGTGTTGGGTACCACCATTCATCCCCGCTGTGTAGGTGAGGAAATTTAAGTACAGTGAGATTTAAGTACTTTGTCCAAGTTCTCACTGCTAGAGAGTGATGGCGATGGAAAAGAAGATCTATATAGAACTTGTAGACAAAACTGTATTTATGGTAGTCAGAGGTGAGAAGGCAGAATATGGTCTGGAGCCTACTTACTAAAAGTACACTCTGGCAGGAGAGCAGGAAGGGAGAGGCAGTGAATGGAACATCAAATGGCTTGCAGATCCTTTTAAAGAAACACACAGATTCTTAACCTTGCTATGTCATGACCACCTCTAATAGCCTAGGGAAATCTGGTTCCCTTTTCAGAATGTTTTTAAGTGGATTATAAAAGATTATAGGATTATAAAGAAAACCAATGATAATGAAATTTAGTAATAATAATAAACAACCATATTTGTGCTATTAATATATGTTTCTTTATTAATACATTAAATAAAATCTAAAATAAGATATAGAGACAGAAGTTAAAATTAATGTAATCTTAAAGAAGAGGCAAGTGTAAATGACTTTTCCCCAATTATCTTATTATCAATAAAATGATAAATCTACAAGGATTGTAATGAGATATGAAAATCTGTAACTTCTGTTTGGGATAAAACAGGTATTGCTAAAACTATCGTGGCTTGCTGCTCACATGCATGATGCAAAGAGATGCTAAAGTTCAGTTAGACTCAGAGGATAATGAAAAAGATGCAATATATTTTTTTCATTTCAAATTCAAGAACCCACCAGATCTTGAAGGGTTTCAGATTTATTCCCAGGGCACTAGGGAGCCACAGTCAAGAGTTACGCGTTGAGCAGAATTCACTGGGAACTTTAGGGTGGGCTAATGTGTTGAAGGTAGGGAAAGGGTGGATGCAAGAAAAATGCGAAGAAGCTGTCGCAGTCATCTCGGAGAGGTGGTAGCCTTACCAATGAGGACAGAAGGAAACAGTCAAGAGACAGGTGACTCAATCTCCTCGATTGGGAGAATGAAACAACCCTCACTGCTGCACGTGTCTGAAGCCCACCTAGTCCGTGGAGCTCTTTCAGGGAAGAAAGCAGAGTCCTTCTGCACCATCCACACGAAAGATCTCACGCCCTTCCCTGAACACAGCCCCCTACCGTCTCTTGGTTTCTCTGGCCCCCGCGGGCGCTGCTCCAAGCCCCAGGCCGGCGTCGCCGCCTCGCGGCACCGAGCCAGCTCCTCTGCATCACTACTACTGCTGCTGCTGCTTTCCGAATCGCTCCTGACGCCATTCCGCGCCGCCATCTTGGCCCGCCGCAGAGGATTGTGGGGAACGACTCCATTGTCGACCCCGCGGCGTGGCCTCCCGTGAGCGAGGGCAGCGCAGGGTATTGTGGGGATTGTAGTTTTCGGACTCACGCCACCGGCTTTCAGGAGCTGTCCTGGGGGTAGGAGGCGGGGAGTGGGTGGTTCTCAAAGGGAAGGTTGGACAGGTCTCAAACTGTGAATTTTCCGCCTGTGTGCCCCGAAATGTTTTAATCATTAAATTATTTTCGAAACGCTGGAGGGTGGCTCTCGGTAATCCCTCCCTCTGGGAGGCCGCGTCGGGTAGATTGGCTCAGCGCAGGAGTTCGGGACCAGCTTGAGCAAGAGCGAGAACCCCCGTCTCCACTGAAAAAATGGGAAAAAACCAGCCGGGCATCGTGGAGGGCGCCGGGAGGCTGAGACGAGAGGATCGCTTGAACCCAGGAGTTTGAGGTTGTTGTGAGCTGTGATGCCACTGCACTCTACCCGGGGCGGCAAAGTGAGACTGTTTAAAAAAAAAAAAATGGGTTTTTTGAAAGAAGTTCAAAGCACAGTAAGTATATATTTGTTTTACTTTTTTCCCCCCTCATCAACATAATGTAAGTGTGCGTGGAAGTTTATAGGTTCAAGAGGGCTGTGAGATAAAACAGGTTGAAAAACACTGGTTTAAGAGATCAACTTCTCCATTCTTTTCTTTATGGAGAGACCTATAGCGGGGAAGGGAAATCGCTTAAGATCTTCCAAGGAGTTAATGATAGAACCAGGGTTAGTTTTCACGTTTCAACGCTATGTAGTTCAGATATTATTTATTTATTCTAGTAATTCCCAAATCTTCCAGGGCATCAGAAACACCTTAGATCTCACGAAAAACTAACGGAACCAGAATCCCTAATAGGTGGGGACCCAGGAATCTGTATTTCCTTGAATAGCTAGGGCATGAGCCAGGAGCTTGTTAGAAGTGTAGAATGCTAGGCTCCACCACAAAACTACTGAATGTGAACCTGTGTAGATGTTAAAGTTTGAGAAGCACTAATCTAGATAATTCAGATTCACAGAACGATGTGGGGAAACACTCTATAGTTTTCTGGCCCAGAACTTCTAAACCCTGTCTACACATAGGAAACATCTGGGGGAACTTGAAAAATATCAATAAGTACCCACCTCAGACCAAAAAATTGAGAATCTGTGGTTAAAATACTCCACAGTTAAGAATGGACAAAATTACTTTTGTCTTAGGAATGCTTTGTTTCATATTTTATCTTTGAAGATGAGTGTGTGAAAAACTTGATTAAAACCAAATGAGGCTGGGCAAGGTGGCTCACACCTGTAATCATAGCACTGTGGGAGGCCAACTGGGTAGATCGCTTCAGCTCAGGAGTTCAGTCTGAGCAAGAGTGAGACCCTTGTCTCTACTAACAACTAGACAGGCATAGTGGCACATGCCTGTAGTCCTAACTACTTGGGAGGCTGAGGCAAGAGGATTGCTTAAGCTCAAGAATTTGAGGTCCCTGTGAACAAGCTGAGCTAGCTGTGAAGTGGCTTGTGCTTTGTAATCTCAGCTACTTCAAAACATAAGGCAGAAGGATCACTTAAGCCTAAGAGTTTGAGGCTGTAGAGCATTATGATCGCTCCCGGGAATAGCCTTTAAACTCTATCCTTGGCAATATGGCAAGACTCCAACTTTAAAAACAAACTAACAAAAACCTTTATTAACATAAATTGTCCGGCCTTGGGCTTTTTCTATTCCAAAAAAGAGGAAGCTGCCTGCTATGGTCTGAATGTTTGCATCCTTCCAAAAATCGTATATTGAAATTATCAGTGTAAAATAAACAACAGACAGACCAACTCACCATAACAAAGAGTTTATTTGGGAATTGCAAGGAATTTCAACAGTAGTCCATCAGAGAGCAGGGCAATAGGAAACTTTTTATTGGTTGATTGGAGTAAACTTGATTATATGATGTCCTTTGATAATAAGGATGCTGTTGTTTTCCTAAAGACTCTGGACTATCATGTACTGTTTGTGTGTGGGTTTCAGGAACTGAGGGAAATTTTTATTCCGCTTCCTCAATCTCCTAGGCTTTGCCTCTTTTTGTCTCAGTGACCCCTTAGTCCTCATTTCCCAGAATTGAGAACTTAAAATGATTTATAAATAACCACTAGCACCTGTGGAAATTAACACAGCACCAAAATGAGAAGAAAGAAAGCAAAATGAGAAGAAAGAAAGGTTTTGTTTTTTTTTTTGACAGAAAGGATTTCACTCTGTCACCCATGTTGGAGGCTGGAGTACAATGGTGTGTGATCATGGGTCAGTGCAGCCTTGAACTTGTGGGTTCTGGAACTCTTTTAACTCTTGCTGAACCTTCTGAGTAGCTGGGGCTATAGGCATGTGCCACAAATGCTGGTATTTAAAAAAATTTTTTTCTTGGCTTGGCGCCCATAGTACAGTGGTTATGGCGCTGGCCACATTCATCGAGGCTGGTGGGTTTGAACCCAGTCCTGGCTAGCTAAGCAACAATGACAACTGCCACAGAAAAATAGCCGGGCATTGTGGCGGGTGCCTGTAGTCCCAGCTACTTGGGAGGCTGAGGCAAGAGAATCGCGTAAACCCAAAAGTTTGAGGTTGCTATGAGCTGTGATGCCATGGCACACTACCTAGGGTGACATAGT